TGTAGAAATTGTGACGTCACGCGCGAGAACGCGCGTGAATACATGGTGAGGAAGTTTCAGGCAGGAGCCGCTGTTGTTGTCAACCGGGGGCCAGGAGCACAGTTCGGTGAAACCTCACGTTCCCTTGTGAAAGATAGGTGGCGGGCCCCGGGAGAAGCATTGAACGTGAAACAAATGCAATGGTTACCGGGCAGGTGAGATCAACAAACAAATCTTTGGACATGAAAACTCAACAACACCATCAAAAATCACTTGAATATTGTTCCTGCTCGAATGTAATTGAACGTGTACTTCCCAAACTCTCGATACCCGCCCTCTTCGTCTTCGATCGTACCCCTTTTGGGGGGTATTTATTTCTTCCCTGCTGGCCGGGCCCCGGCCAAGCGGCGGGGCGGCCGCGGACCCTCGGCCTGGCCAGCGGCAGCGCTGATCGGCGGCAGCCCGACCCCACGACGGACGGACAGGGGACCGAACACGCCGACGACGACGACGACGACGACGACGACGGCGGGGACGACGACGACGACGAGGACAAGCGAAAGCGAGAGCGAGAGCGGCAGCGGGGCCACGAATGGCAGGACGAGGGCCAAGAAGGGCGACAGCGGGGCCACGAAGGGCGCGTAAGGGGCCACGAACGGCGCGAACGAGCGGGAGCCAGATAATGCGGGGCCACAGAGGGCAACGACGGGGCCACTGAGGGTAGCAGCGGGGCCACGTAGGACAGCGAGGGGGCCACAAAGGGCGACAGCGGGGCCACGAAGGGCATGCATATGGGGCCACGACGGGCGCGGACGAGCGGGAGCCACGAGGGGCGTGCGTATATTGGGCCGCGGAGGGCAAGGACGGGGTCACTGAGGGCAGCAACGGGGCCACGAAGGGGAGCGAGGGGCCACGACGGGCGACATCGGTGCCACGAAACGCATGCAGATGGGGGGCCACGGCGGGCGCAGACGAGCGGGGGCCACGAAGGGTATACATATATGGGGCCACGAAGGGCAGCGAGAGGGCCTCGAAAGGCTGCAACGGGGCTACAAAGGGCAACGAGGGGGCCACGAAGGGCTGCAACGGGGCCACGGAGGGCAGCGATGGGGGCTACGAAGGGCTGCGACGGGCTACGAAAGGGCAGCGATATCCCGATTCCCAAATAAGCAGCGAGGGAGTCCTAAGCGTGAGCGCGACTCATGAGTCCTTGAATGTCGGGAGCGCGGCGCTTAAGTAAATTGCGGGGAATTCCAACGCAAGAGCGCGACTCTTGAACAAGTGGCACACGTGCCCTGGCTCTTGCACCAAGGAGCTGCGAACGACACGAGGCTTTCGCCTCCTTCCTCCAGGAGTTCCCTTCCGTGGCCGGGCGGGGGGACGAACGGCGAACGACAAACGAACGACAAACGAACATAAAGAGGTCCGAGCTCAAGAACACAGCTGTGCAATCTGATAAGCATGTCCGAGCTCTAGAACACAACAGGCAAGTCCAGGGGGGCAAGGGAGAGGGCGAACGAGTGGGCCAGGGAGGCCAGGGGGGGAGAGCGAGGGGGGCTGGGTCCAGGGCAAGGGCAGGGGGGAGGGCTGGGCCCAGGGCCAGGCCAACGGGCCATGGAGGCTAGGGGGGTGCCAGGGAAACCAAGGGGGGAGAGCGAGGGGGGCTGGGCCCCAGGCAAAGGCATGGGGGGGTCGGGTCCAGGGTGAAGCCACGGAGGCCAGGGGGGGAGGACGAACCGCGAGCGAACGAACGACGACGACGAACGACGAACGAACGAACGACGACGACGAAAATAGGGAGGCCGGGTGGGGGGGCGGAGGGGGCACCGGGCGGGGGTTCCACTGGAGCGCGAGGGAACGCGCGGGGGGAGGGGGCGACGCGACGCACAATAAAGCCGCCGGGGCGGAGGGCGACGGTGGACGGGCGCTGGGGAGGAGGAAGCGACGCGACGCGGAATGCAATAGTCGGGGCGGAATGGGGACTGGGCCGCGGGAAAACGCCGGGGAAAAAGGGGGCGGCGGGGGCGCGGTGGGGAGGGTGCGACGCGAGGCGAAATAACACTGGCGGGGCGGAGGGGACACTGGGCGGGGTTTCGCTGGGGCGCCGGGGATCGTTGGGGAGGAGGGGGTGACGCGACGCGGAATAAAGTCGTCGGGGCTGAGGAGGCACTGTGCTGCTGGGGGACGCTGTGGAAGAGGTGGCGGGGGCGGGGAGGGGGGGCGCGACGCGAGGCGGAATGGTCGGAATGGAATGTGGTCGCGGCGGAGGGGGCACTGGGCTGCTGGGGGGCGTTTGGGGGGGGGGGCGGGGGCGGGGAAGAGGGGCGCGACGCGACGTACAATACAACTGTCGAGGCGGAACGGGCGCTGGGCGGAGGCTCCACTGGGCCTCTGGGGCATGCTGGGGGGAGGAAGGGGGGGTGCGGCGCGACGCGGAATACAACAGTCGGGGCGGAGGGGATGCTGGGCGGGGGTTCCACTGGGGCGCGGGGGATCGCTGGGAGGGAGGGCGACGCGACGCGGCACGAAATGGTCGAAGCGGAGGGGGGAACTGGGTCGCTGGAAAACGCCAGGGAAGGGGCAGCGGGGGCGCGGAATAAAATGGTCGGGTTGGGAAGGGGGCGGGCGGGAGGGGGGGCGCAATGCGACGCGGCGTAGAACAATCGGGGCGGAGGGGAGACTGGGCGGAGGTTCCCCTAGGCCGGTGGGGCGCGCTGGAGGGGGCGGGGAGGGGGGCGGGGAGGGGGGCGCGGTGCGGCGCGGTAGCAATAATCGAAGCGGAAGGGGCACTGGGCGGAGGTGCCACTGGGCCTCTGGGGAACGCTGGGGAGAAAAAGGGGGGGTGCGGCGCGACGCGGAATAAAATGGTCGCGGCGGAGGTGGCACTGGGCGGAAGTTCCACTGGGCCGCTGGGGTTGGGGAGGGGCGGGGGGGGGCGGGGAGGGGGAGGGCGGGCGCGGTGCGACGCGGAATAAAATGGTCGGGACGGAAGGGGCGCTGGGCGGAAGTTCCACTGGGCCTCTGGGGAGCGCTGGGGAAAGAGAGGAGGGGGGTGCGGTGCGACGCGGAATACAATTATCAAGACGGAGAGGGGGCGGGCAGGGACGGGGCTGGGGAACCGTGGGAGGAGGGCGGTTAAAGGGAGCGGGCGCGGTGCGACGCGGAATGAAATGGTCGGGGCGGAGGGGGCAGTTGGCGGAGATTCGTTCCACTGAGCCACTGGGGAACGCTGGGGAGGAGCAGGAGGGGGCGGGGCGGGCAAGGGGAGGGCAGAGGAGGGTGGGGGGGCGGCGGGACGACGGGCGGGCGCTGTGCGACGCGGAATGAACTGGCGGGGGCGGAGGGGGCACTGGGCAGAGGTTCCACTGGGCCACTGGGGAACGCTGGGGGGGGGGGAGGAGGGGGGCGGGGCAGCAGGGGGTGCGGTGCGACGCGGGAGAAAATGGTCGGAGCTATGGACACCCTGCGCAATATTATACATTGCAAACACGTCTCCAGCGAGAGCGCGACTCCAGAGCCCCGGGGAAAACGTCTCCTGAACAAAAGCGTAAGGAAGTCCCAAGCGACAGCGCGATTCTAAAGGAAAAATGCGAGAGCGCGATTCGTAGTAACATACGAGAAAATCTCAGGCGGGACTGGGGACTGATTAAATTGTGAGGAAGGCTCAGGCGGGAACCTTTGTGCTTTTAACCCGGGGGCCAACAACGCAGTTTGGGCCTAGTGGTTTTCCCATTGATATGTATGTATAAAGGGTGCGAGCCCCGGGGGAAACACCTCAATTGAAAAAGCACACTGGTCACCGGAGGGGGGATCAACAAAACTTATTCTTCAATAGCGATAGGTCAACAACAACAGCACCAACATCACCAACATCACCAACAACAACATTCATTTTAAGACTGTTCGCTCTTACTGGCACGCGAGTCTTGCATTCCGTATACCCCAACACTCGATACCCGCCCACTTCGTCTTCGATTGTACCCCCTTTCAGGGGGGAATCTCTTGTTGTTCGGCCACTGACTGACTTGCGAAGAAGTCTCGAGCGAGAGCACCGTTCCTGAGTTCGGGGGCCTCTCTGGCCAGGGGCTCTCGGAACACCTATGGAGAAATATCGAACGGGAGCCCTTGTCGCCGTGTCCGGGCCTCCACCAATTTGCCTGAATTACGGAAAAGTCTTGAGCGAGAGCGCCGTTCCTGAGTTCGGGGGCCTTCTTAGCCAGGGGCTCTCGGAGTGAATCGTGAGGAAGTATCGAGCAGGAGCCCGTAATTTAATTGCGAGGAAGTCTCGAGCGAGAGCGCCGTTCCTGAGTTCGGGGGCCTCTCTGGCCAGGGTGTCTCAGGGTAAATTGTGAGGAAGTGTCGTGCGGGAGCGCTGTTGTCGTAGCTGGGTCTCCAAGGGCCCACATTTCGGCTCAAGCCAACGCTCGAGCAGGAGCCTCGTTTTCAGAGAAGATGTAGCTGGCGTCGAGGCGAGAGCGCGCGGAACCGTTTCCGGAGATCAGCAATAATTATTCTGTAGAAATGAATGCTCAACTCTTGAACCCTCGAGACACGGTCTCCCCCTGGCAACCAGACATCCGACGATCTGGTTTTTCAACGCGCGGCCCCACAAGTCCCGCCCCCTTCCCTGGGGTCGGTCTTGCCCCCCAAATGCATGGTTGATGGCCCTGGGGCCGGACAACGGGCCCCAGAGGCCGAAATCAACGAAAAACGCTCGCATTGAAAAATAATACCGTCGGAGATCTGGGGGCACCTCCGAAGACCCCCCCCGGACGATAACCCCCCCCTGGCCGCCAGTCCCTTAAGAAGAAACTGCTGGGAGGTCTTCGTAAGACTAGGCCAGATCAGGCCAGATTCAGCCAGGGATCGAGCCGAGTTGAATTTGATTAACCTGGATTGCGCGGGATAGTGCTGGATTCGGCTGTTTTCGACCACGGATGTACCAGCGACGACGCAACTTTTAACATCCCAAGAGTTGTTTCCATCATCTCCCTCCCCTTTCGCGGGCCCCCCGAGGCGAC